AACGAAACGACCTGATGGTTAGGTGATGCTACGTCACCGCCCCGTCCCAAGTGGGATTACTCACTATTTTACTCGGGATTTCAGATTCATCGTGTGACTAAAATTTCAAACGGACTGGATTGGTCGATCAAAACATGAAGTAGGCAGGGCGAATAAGCTGGCGTTCATTAGAGCGAGACCCTACACATAGCCTGTGACGAGCACATTGGACAAGCCCCAATTTGGGAAAATAATGCCACAGCAAGTGAGGTTTATTGGGAGATGACTGTTTGTCGTCAAGATCGTTTTACTTTTCGGGGGTGATGGATTGAGTTTTAGATGAGAATGCTGTTCTAATGTTTGTTTCATGCATGTAGGCCCTAGCTTGGTCACCATATCTTTCCCCGAATACGGACAGTTGACGTGCGTCAGCTTGTCAGTCGTGCGCTGAAAGTCGCTCTGATTCACTGTCCGATTAAAGTAACGTTGCCCGCGGAATTCCACGTGGATCTGGGCTTGGTAACTGAATTCGCCTTAGACGCATAATTGATCTAGCAAAGGTTGAAGAGCTGAAGATAGTGCTGACTGCAAATGAAGTCGATATCTGGAACACAGGAACAACTTAAGAACCCACTAACAGTGTTAGAAACACTGACGCAGTTCACCAATTTTCTCCCCAGTGGTAGTGGATTTCATGTATCGAAATGTCTAAACGTCACAACAGTCGATTCCCGTTCGTCCTGGGAAACCAAAAGCTGTCATATGCCTCAAGTGACTAGAACCCAGGAATCATTGTTCGAGAGGGTAAACCTGAACGATTAACTGCCCTATGGCTGGGTTCACAACGGTATGGAAAGTCGATTAGCTTAATCGAGTCCGTTTGAGTCCACATTGTTCCCAGGTGTGCTATCACCACACATACAACTGTACAAAGATTATATCGTCCAGGCATGGAGTTTATAGCTACAGCGCCACCGTACGGTTCTGGAACGTCACAAAGGATAATCACCAAAGTAATCCAAGTAGAGCGTTGTCGTACCTAGGGGCAGAGATGAGGACTCAGTATCAATAAATTCCAGGAACTTTGACTTTGATGTACCACATACTATAAGTTACTTTCACCTTTGATCGGCTAACTCCTGCGAGAAGATAAGTCAGCTTCTTGGATGTCTCTAATGACGGCGACCATGCATGATGATCGGTAGCAAGGTTGACGCAGTAAGAAAACCAGTTCTGGTTCCATATTCCGTATACGGATTAGAGGCCCAGTAATTCCAAATCCGCCGTGATCGTACTACTCCAGATCTTCAGTTGACAACCGAGTCGGCAACGCCATCCACGTGACAGTGCGAGAGTTGAGTTTCGAGTTTTCAGAGCAAATGGCCAAATCACTGAAGATGCCGGCGTTGTAGCATTTTTGAAAGCTTGTCAATGTTCAAGCAAAACCGTCGAACCTCATCATTGGAAATCCGAACTCTCCAGTTTGCTTTCCAGATGCGGCGTAAGCCTCAATGATCAAAGACATCGAGCTTCCTTGTATCTTGTACTCTTAGCGGCCAGGTTTCACAACCATAAGTGAGGATGGGGTGGATAGAAACTGATAAACCCGAATCTTAGTGTTTAATCTTATTTTGCATCGATTTCGAAACGGTTTGAGTTGTAGGAAGCCTCTTCTAGCTCCATCTACATGGAGTTGGATTTCATCCCTACCCTGGCCGTTTGGTCTTAACGCAGAGTCAAGATACTCGAAAACTTCGGTTGATTCGACAAGCACCCCGTTAATCGAGAGGGGTTGTGTCATGGCAGAAGTTTTGGTAGAAAATGTTTTCGTTTTCGAGGTGTTGATCTCTAGCACAAGGGACTGGACAAACAGATTTATACTATGGACAACAGGCTGGAGGTTGTCCATCGTGTCTCCAAGCACAACATCATCCGCAAACTCGAGATCAGCACTCCATGTAGCTGGGCCAAACTGCACTCCAGGGTAGTCGACGAGTGCTTGTCGCATTATCCATTCTACGGTTCAACTGATTAACACTGGCTATAGAGGAAAACCTTGCCTAACACCAGAACTTAGGGTGAATTCAGCTGATTCTTCTCCATAGGCACGGACGCAGACCTGGGTTCCTGAGTAGTATGACTTTAAAAGCTTGATTAACTGCTCAGGCATCCCATCGGACCGCAATATGCACCACAGGGATTTTCTATCGACAGAGGCAAACGCAGAGCGAAGGTCAATGAAACATGCAGTGGTAGACTGCTGGAACTTGCAGCGGAGTTACAGAATCCTACGGAGTGAAGATCTGTTCAACACAGCTTTTTCCGCGGCGAAAACCTCCTTAGTTCCGGCGAGTGCGAGTATCTCTGACGACTGCGAAGCAATTAAGCAGTATCACTGCAAACAATTGGGCCGCAATATTAATCAGGCTAATACCCCTGCAATTTTCGCATCTGGATGTCACCATTTTTGGGACCGAGATTAAAACTGAGGCCGTTAAATCTTTTGGAAAAGCTTCTCTTCCCCAAATGATGTAGAAAAGAGAGTGCAGCGGATCGATCAGACTTGGAAAGCAAGCTTTGAATAACTCTGGTGATATACCGCCTTCTCCAGGGGGGACCTTTCTGTTTTTCAGAGAAGTGATTGCATTGATGATTTCTGCAGTACTATGTGGGTCACAATTGTTGACATAAGTCTCCGAACTCATCATCATCATCGTACAGCGAGATACAGTGAAGCGAGCTTCACTGCTAGCTGTCAAGCTCACAATGTACACAACTCAAGTGATAAAGCATAAGATGGAGAGTGATTGGGCCTA